TCATCGCTCTCACAGGCACTCTCAATGTCGTCTAGCCTCTCCGCTGTGCGTGCCGCCAGCGGGTTGTAGCGCAAGAATCGCCATGCCGTCCGTCGAGTGGCTGCTGACGTCTCCGCTGCGCCCGCTGCCGCGCCCTGAGCGATCGCCGCCAGAAGGGCGGTCCTCATCGCCCGCGTGGCCACCTGCGGCTCGAGTGAGAGTCTAGGTAGGCGGGTCGGACGTGCCCCATGGGCACATCGGTGGCCGCCTGGCTGCACCTTCTGAGCCAGTATGGCGGCTCCAATTGATATATATATATACAAAGAACGAAACATGAAGAACAAAAACGCGCGTTCGGTGGTTGGGTGGGTGAGTGGGTTCGCTGGCACATAACAATACGCGGTCGTGCACGGCCGCTCGATTGCTTGAGTATAAATCAATGTTCCTTGTGTTACTCTTGGTGCGGATGTAGCGAAATGGCCTTGCAGCTGCGATCGCCCCGTGGCGCGTTGACGCCGCAATGCACACTCTCACCACGCGGGTTAATGCAACAACCTACGCATAGACCACATCGCATGTGCACATCACAATGACGGGGCGCATGGTAGCGGCCCTGTGCACCGCAACGCATTTTACACACAACTGCGAGCGCGCACGCCGCAACGCTTCTGCACAACACAACCGCGGCCACACAAACACGCCTCGCGGGCACCATTGCGCCTGTGTACAACACGATCCGCGCGCACACCTCCACAGCCGCGCGGCGACAGGCGTCTGCGTGCACCACCTTGTATATGTACACCACCAAGCTCGCGTACACTCCGAGGGTCCCGACGATGCCCATAAACTTAAACTCGTGGTCGTGGGGAGGCGAACGTATCAAATTGAATATTCAAGTTTGCTGTGGTTACTGTTATTTTTTTGGCCGCCTGGATACGAGTTTGGCACGTTATTTGGCCTGCGTGCGGCCGTGGCGACGAAGATTTTTCCACAGGGAAGGGCCCCTGGCGTTTCGAGTTCATTTGCGCCGCGGCTTCGTCCGAATGGTCGTGACCCATGACGCCCCCGCGAGGGCTCCGACGCGACTCAAGGCGGCCCCAGGACGGCCGAATAAACGCCAAAGACTGCCCACGGGGCTTCCAAGAGGGGGACCACCAGTCGACAGTTTGAACCTCCCCCCCCCCAAAGCGCCACCATGAGGCCCCAAAAGGCGCCCATGAAGCCATTTTAAGAGGTCCACGATAAAACAAAGAGCGCGTCCAAGAGGGCCCCAAGAGACTTCAATCCCCCCATTCCACTTTTGCCCCGCGAGTTTGCCCGTCGTTTTCCTCGTCCTCTTCGCCTTCGTCCTCCTCTCCCCCCTCCTCCTCATCCTGTTCCTCCTCCTCCTCCTCCTCCTCCTCCTCCTCTTCCTCCTCCTCTTCCTCTTCCGCCTCTTCCTCCTCCGCGTCCTCCTCCTCCTTTTCCTTTTCCTCCTCCTCCTCCTCCCCCTCCTTTTCCTCCTCCTCCTCCTCCTCCTTCTCTTCCCCACCCCCCGCCCTCCTAGCGCCCAGGGTCGGCGGTGCCAGCCGCAAGTCCTTCCCAAGAAACTGGTCACTGCGTGGTCACAAGGTGGCCACTGCGCCGTGGTCCGCGATGCTAGTACAAGAACTGTTTCAAGAAGTTGCGGCGCACCACAATCACCGGAGCATCGCTCGCCACGTAGCATCCCACGGGAAAGAACAAACTCTTCGCACCCCTGTGCCTGCGTACGACCCTTGAGCCTGTGTGTGCCGCCGGCATATACATCACAGTGCCAGCGTACATCACAAAGCCCGCGTACACCTCCAGGTGCCCGACGGTGTCAACTTCGACAAAACATGGCCGGCGCGCAGGTATCAAATTTAGTTTGCATGTTGTTTGTGTTGTTTTCTGGCCACGGGCACGGCCCCTATCACCGCTGCCCGCGCGCACAAAAGTACTACCACAATGCAAGACACCACCACGCTTGTGTACAGCTTAACTGCCGCCGCAGCCAGCGTGTGCGCTATGGACGCCGAACTGTTTGTCTCTTCCAATGTGAGTGCGCCGCCGCGCGTGTGGGTGTCACAACAACCTGCGCGCGCCACGCGCTTCTACATACAACAAACACATGCCTGCGCATACTACAAACACGTCGTGCGCATTACGAACAGCAGACCTGTGCGCTGAGCACCAGGCGCTGCTGCAACGGGGGTGGGTGGGGCGGCGGGCGTTAATGTTACCTACTGGGTGGGCGGGTGGGTTGGAGGCCACATAACGCGCGTTTTGTGTTAAACTTGAGCTCCAGGAACTTCTGAAAGGGCCCGTGGGAACACCTTCAGCTTGGCCGATGAACAGCGATTATAAATCGTTCTGGGCGCCAAGTTGAATAGGCCAAACTGACGCGACACGGTCCAGTCGAAACGACTTCGGGGACGACGATGTCTCAGCTGGAGTAGCGATCTTTGTCAAGGCTGTTCTCTGGGCCTACTTTCTAGAACCGACTCCCTACCGGAGGGGGCTCCTCTTTCATGTCAGGGATTTGTCGTGTGTCGTAGAGTTCCCGTGTTCGTCTCTGCGTACGGGACAGTTGCGAATTGGGAAATTTGGGAGTTGGTTTCCAAGCATGCACTTCCCAGTCAGGGGATGTTTCAGCAGTGCATACGTTTCCCTGGCATCATCTGGGTTTTGTTGATGGCTTGGGAGATCAAACCATGGCCTATACCCCTCCCCTCCGCGACGGGGGAATGACCGGAGTCATAGATGCTTCCATCGCAAGGGGCCAAGACAAACCAGGCTGGGTGGCGGGATTAGTCTCATCATCATCAGCATCAGCATCAGCATCAGCATCAGCATCAGCAGCATCAGCAGCATCATCATCATCATCATCATCATCATCATCATCATCATCATCATCATCATCATCATCATCATCATCATCATCATCATCATGATCATCATCATCATCATCATCATCATCATCATCATCATCATCATCATCATCATCATCATCATCATTATCAGCATCATCATCATCAGCATCAGCATCAGCATCAACATCATCATCCTCATCATCAGCATAATCATCATCGTCGTCATCATCATAAGCCTCATCATCATCAGCATCATCATCCTCATCAGCATTATCATCATCATCACCATCGTCACCAGCCGCATCATCATCAACAGCATCAGCATGAGCATCAGTATCATCATCATCATCATCATCATCATCATCATCATCATCATCATCATCATCATCATCATCATCCGCATCAGCATCATCAGCATCATCATCATCAGGATCATCATCATCGGCATCATCAGCAGCAGCAGCAATATCAACAGCATCACCAGCAAATACAGAATCAGCAGCATCACCACCACCATGATCATCATATTCATCATCAGCGCCATCATCATAACCAACCACAGCAGCATCACCATCGTCGTCGTCATTGGCATGGTCATCATCGTCATCAGCATCACCATAATAAACGCAATCAGCAGCATCATCATCGTCATCGTCGTCATCATCGACGTCATCATCGCCGTCACTACCATCACCATCAACAACATCAGTATCGCCGTCATCCGTATCACCATCACAAGCACCATCCCAGGCATCATCATCATCAGCAGCATCATTATCATCGTCATCAGTACCATCATCGTCAGCATCATCATCATCAGCATCATCATCATCATCATCATCATCATCATCATCATCATCATCATCATCATCATCATCATCATCATCATCATCGTCATCATCGTCAGAATCATCATCATCAGCATCATCAGCAACACCAAGAACGCCTTCTCAATTGCCCCAAGGGCGTCCCGTTCGACCCTGAACCACCTCAGCGCTGGCCCAGGCTGCTCGCGGATTGGGTAGCACGATTTACTCAATGGAGGCCCAGGATGGGAGGGGGACGATCAAACACCTTTCTTCCTCATCCTCCTCCTAATCCTCCTCCGCGTCCACCTCGTCCTCATACTCCGCCTCCTCTTCCTTTTCCTCTTCCTCATCCACATCCTCCTCCTCCACCTCCTAATCCTCCGCCTCCTCCCCTTCCTCCTCCTCCCCCAGATCATCATCATCATCATCATCATCATCATCATCATCATCATCATCATCATCAGCATCATCATCAGCATCATCATCATCATCAGCAGCAGCATCATCAGCAGCATCATCATCAGGATCATCAGCAGCAGCGTCAGCATCAGCATCATCAGCATCAGCATCAGCATCCGCATCAGCATCATCAGCAGCAGCATCAGCAGCATCAGCAGCATCCTCATCATCATCCTCGTCAGCATCATCAGTATCAGCATCATCCTCATCAGCATCATCCTCATCATCCTCATCAGCATCATCATCAGCATCATCAGCATCATCATCAGCATCGTCATCGTCATCGCCATCAGCATCATACTCAGTATCAGTATTACCATCATCACCATCAGCAGCATCACCATAACCATCTTCATCATCAGCAGCAATCACCATCATCAGCAGCAGCATCATCAGAATCATAAGCATCATCAGCATCCGGAACTTCAGCATCACCACTACGACCACCACACCCATCGTCATCAGCAGCATCAGCATCAGCATCAGCATCAGCATCATCAGCATCAGCATCAGCATCGTCATCATAATCATCATCATCAGCATCCCTCCGACGACGACGACGACGACGACGACGACGACGACGACGACGACGACGACGACGACGACGACGACGACGACGACGACGACGACGACGACGACGACTACTACTACTACTACTACTACTACTACTACCACTCCTACTCTTTCTCTTCCGCCTCCTCCTCCTCCTCAGCCATTCCGCCCGGGGCAAGGGGGGGGCCGTGCAGCGAGGGGCAAACTTCGGAGTGGCAATGCCCCCGCGGGCAATCAAGAGCCCGGCGATGTCTTCCCCCCCTTTCTTCCCCCCTCCGTCCCCTCTCGCCCCGCCACCCTCACCCTTGGATCAAGACACGCCCGACGC